CAAATTCTCAAAAAAAAAGATTTTTAATTTTTAATGTAAAACCTGAAATATTAGGCTTTCAAATGCAGAAATAGTAATCTTATATGTGAGTGATGGTGAGACTAGATTATATGATCTTTCTGTCTCTGATAGATCTCTGATTTTATGATATATATGGATCTGAAAGGGTTAATAAAAGTTATTCATTTAAGGCACAAAACTTTACATATAGATAATTTTGTTTACATGTATTTTACATGAGATTTTAAAATTGGATGTTACTTTACTATGAATTGTAGGGTTTGAGGATTTCTTTATACTATCCATCCTAACAAATTAATTTCAATTTTTTAAAAAAGAAATCTATTTTATGTTAATTTTGTATAGAAATCCTGAAGTGAAGGTCACATTATTAATGATTTATTCATTCATTCAACAAATATTTATTTAAGGGTGCCAGGCACTGTTCCAAGGTACTAGTGAATAAAATATGATTCTATATAATAGGCCAGACTTTGTTTATTTAGAAACTTCCTTTCTTTAGAAATACTTGAAAACCAAGATTTTAGAATCTTTTTAAGTGTGAATATACAAGACCTTTTGGGATTCAAACTTTTTGTTTTTGTTTTCACTTGAAGTCTAGTGTATTACTCTACTAAAACGGTATACTGGAATTGGTCTTCTGGAAAGTCCACGTAGAATTTTGTCACTTTCTCCAGTCTTCCTAGTTTGTTAATTTTACTTCTTTCCAAGTTTTTAAAGAATGAAATTTAAAAAGCCCTAGGTTAATTCATTGTTACAACACGATTAATTTTGAGTTTTTTAAGTCTATAACACTTCTAGTTTCATGGAACTTTTAAACTCATTTCAATCCTCTAGATTTCCAGAACAAATCACGAGATAATGGGCCATAAAGATCGTGTTATATGATTAAGTTTCATTAATGTTCTTTCTAGAGAAAGCCTGAGATTAGGTTTAGAAGGACTTTGTTTTTTTGATCTGATTATTTTCCTCTTAAGTTTAGACTATAAAGCTAATAAGCATAGAGGTTTTACATTATATGAGACCTATAATGAGTGTTATATGCATTTTGCTTGGCAAAGATTCCCTGATTATATAAACTGAAAAGAAAAAAAAAATTTTATTTTAGAAAATTAATCTCTCCTTAAGTTATCATCACTTATTTTATGTAGTTGTGAAATTTTTCTTTTATAATTTATGGTTTTCTCTTGAGGTCTTTTTAATCCCAGGTAGATGCTAGCATTGAGAGTGGTTTTTTTGTTTGTTTGTCTGCTTACTTGCATGTTTGTTTGATTTTTTTGGTACAGTTCTTGTTACTACAGGAATACCACAAAATATTTTTTTCTTATGATGAACTAAGTTTTAGTTTTATAGCTGAACTATTTAATAAGGAAAGAAAAACTTTATGGAAGGCTATGATTTGATAGTAAAGATCCTGATCATGTCTCATGTTTACTCGCCATTTCACATGTATAGGTACAAAATATTCTCAATTATAGTATGTCACACTTGTAGAGAATATTAGATACATGAACTAATAACTTGACTACAAATTTTCATTCAGTTTATGCAATCATTTTTAAATATACATCACAATTGATGGGTTCATGAGCATCTCCAAATAAATTGTTAACTGCTAAAAATTATTTGGTGGAGTTTCCCTGACCAGTTGGTCTTGGAAGTTGATTTGTCAGTAAAGTCAGATGGTGCACTGGAGTGGCCTATATATGTATGTATTCTTTAATGAAAGCTCTGCTTAATGGATTACTATTATTTGAGGAAAAATGGCCTTGGAACAACTGTTTCCAAACTTAATTAAGTTAATGCAAATTTACTTTATTTATATAGTTATTTTACTATTGAAAATTAGCACTAAGTTTATATAAAGTTATAGTTACCAGCTGCAGAATCAGAGTTCTGTGTTAAATTAAAATGAATATTAGTCAATAACCAGTTCAGATATTACTCTCACTCCTTAATTATTATTACTGTTACATTGATCAGTTTCATTGCTTTTTTTTTTTATTTTCTTATGTTCTTATATTTTTTAAATCAACTTTTCTGGATGTTCAAGTAAAACTTCATTTATTCATGGCTATCTTAGTTTGTAGCCCTTTAAAAAGGTTCGAACATTACAATATAAAAAACACATTTTTATCTTATGAAAATAAGTACTCTTCCATTTTTAAAGTGATTACTGTGAAACTTAAAGTGCCAACATTCCATTGCTTAAAAAATTGACTTGAGTTCCTTAGTAATAGGAGCCTCTGCTGGAAAGTCTATAGCTACAAGTTTTTACATTAAGATAAACAGATGTGCATTTCCATAGCCATGCCAGGTTCCATTAAGGCCTCACTGACTTTGAGAGGCTTTTTTATTTGTGCCTCTTTGGTAAATTAATGACTAAAAAACTCTGTGACCTTTTTTATTATATACTGACCTCTTTGCTTTGTAATTTTTTCTTTTTTTATCGCGATATTCTTTTTTTTTTTTTAAGCCACTTTAACAGAGTGATTCTTCTGTTTTCATATAATGTTCTTAGGTAAAAGAGAATTACCTAGATTTGATTTTCCATCTCTCATCCACTTCTCTTCCTTGTGACTTCAGTCGTACCCACTGTCATCATCGTGATTTGTTTACTTTGGACATCTCATGCATTTGAAGCTAATGTGATTGTGTTACACTTTATATCTCTCTTCCTGCATCCTTAATTACTAATGATAAAGATAGAGTTACTTCATTATAATTATTAGCATTGCGCAGCTCTTTTAAAATTCTTTATAATCATACATTAGTTTAATGTTGTGTATATGCTTTCTGAACCAGGCAAATATTATAACCAATTAAGGGAGGCATTATTTAGTTAAATGCCTTTTATTTAAGGGAAGTCACTGGTGATGCTTGATAAATTTTTTTATTCTAAAAGTTTATTAATTCCTTTATTTATTAAGTGCCTACCTACAATGTGTCAGTCTCTCTTTTAGGCCTTGAGAATGTAGCTAGATACAAACAAAAAGTTCATGCCTTCCTAACCAGACCTTCTAGTGGAGGAACAGATGGTTAATAAACAGATATACAAACAAATATATAAAGTAAAGCATATAATATGTTAGATTGTGACATGTGATGTGGAGGAAAAGAAAACAGAGAAAGAGAATAGGGAATTCTTGGGGAATAGTGATCAGAGAGGCTTCACTGAGAAGGTGGTATTTTTTTCTTAAGTCCTTTGGCCATGTTATTTGCGCTAAAATAATTGCTCTCTGTGCTCTGTTTACACAAATGGTTAAGCATCTATTACTGACACCAATCTCATTGTTTTAGAAGTAGAGGAATTTTAATTTTTTTCTCTTCCCAGGAATAGTGACTGGGAACATTTAGAATCCAGGGTATTTTGTGGTATCTAGAGTTTTTGTGTATTTTTTATTTTGATAGTTGTATGAATATACTGTTGAGGAAGTGAAGAACCATGGCATGTGGACTGACACTCTCTATTAGAGGACGTCTCTTTTACCAGCCACGAAGACTTTAGCTTCTGTCTCTGACCTGGGTGCACAAACGCTTCCATTCCTAGTTCTTTGCCACTGTGCGTGCCATGCCATATGTAATAAAAGGCTGGGTAGTTATCCCTTCCTAAAGGTCTTTTGAGTCTTTCATATCTAAACCATACTTCAACTAGCTTAAACCTAAATATTAAGTACAATCAAGATGAATAAAAATATTTACTTTTCAAACTATAGTTAACCAGTACATAAAATAAGGCTGAGTACAAAAATATTTCTTCTTAAAATAATTGTTATATGATCTTATGTTCATACTCTGAATGAAATTTCAAAGTCCATTTACATGCAATAGTAGTAGGTGTTTAAATTTTTAAGTGGTTCTCTCTCCCACCTTTTAAAAGTTTAGTAGTATATGATTTTCCAATAGGCATATCCTCCAGTAGGGTTCTTCTGTTTTGTATTTTAGGTGCAGTATACTTCCTTTATAGAATTATAAACTTAATAGCTGTGTGACCTTGGAAAGGTTATTTAAACTCTCTAGGTCTCAATTTCTTTATCTATAAAGGAGTATAATAATAGTGTCACCTAATGAGATTGTGATTAATTGAGATAATGTTTTAAAAACCTTTTGCATAGTATCTAGACAATAGGAATCACTCAAAACATTAATTCTTATATATAATGATACTATAATACTAAATATACAACAATAATTGTAGGGAGACATATACTTCTAATATTCCTTTTTATATTTTTATATTTAAATTACTGTCATGTCTTTTTTGCTTATCCACTTTACATGTAATTGTTAATCTCTAATGAATATTTTAAATTTATTTTAAAGTTTTTTTAATTCTATAATTCTGTTATAGCCTTTTTATAATTTATAGTAACCATTAGTTGTTTTCTTATTTATGTATATGCCTGATCAGAAAACATTTATTTATTATTATAATTTTTTTTAATTACAGGTAGATGCCACTGAGAGTGAACCAAAGAGTTTTATCTTTATGAGTGAGGATGCTTTGACAAATCCACAGAAACTGATGGTTTTAATTCATGGTAGTGGTGTTGTCAGGGCAGGTCAGTGGGCTAGAAGGCTTATTATAAATGAAGATCTGGACAGTGGCACACAGATACCATTTATTAAGAGAGCTGTGGATGTAAGTGCAATTTCCTTTATTTTGTTTTTGACATTTTATAGCTGTTTTATTATGTGTGATAAATTATTTTGAAATGTCTCTTCAAAAGTATATCCTAAACATGACCTTATCTTTAAATCGTTATTATTTATTTGTAATGAAAACTTATTTTGCATTATTTTGCAGTTATAACAAAAACAAAATGATTGTCTTAAGTGTACAAAAATTTAGATAATGTCTTTGAAATGAATATTTTCGATTCTAAAATTTTGTGATTATTACATGAAATAGCACTTAAACTATCATATAAATATTATTGAAATGCTTCTGGAATATATTGT